TGTTCTATGAACCTCTCATTCAACATTCGCACCTTGTCTGCACTCCTTGGATCAACCTGTGTATAAAGCTCATAAGCCTCAATCAGTCTTTGCAAAAAAAAAAACTTTCCGGACTTTCATCTGCCTCCTGCATCACAAAAGACGGCTTTAACACATTCACTGAAGGCTTTCCAGCCTTGCAAAGAGCCTCTACTACTAAATTCTGATATTCCTTTAACAAAGTCATGTGTGCTGGGTTTTGTGTATTCCATTCAGGGTCCTTTTCTGGTGCCCTGGCTTCCATCTCTGGCTGTGTATCTCATACAGCCGGCAACCTATCCTTCAAACACTGCCTAACAGCAGCCTTCCCCTTCTCCCTTTCCTTGGGAGTCAACAAAATATTCAACAATTGCTCCTCTTTACTTGCTTCTCCCCTCACATTTACAGAGAGACCTTCCAAATCCCCTTCCTCCTTGGGGGCTGACAGCCTCCCCCTTTCTGTTTTCGTCTCACAGCTGGCTGCCTTTCTTCGGACACAGCAGGGGCAATCAGCCCTTCCTCCGGCAGAGCGGCTGCTGGCTCTGCCACAGCCGGCACTGGGGGGGGAGGGGGAGAAAGGTGGAACGTAGGGAGGAGGTCTGAGAATCAACTCCTCTACCTCCATCCTTATCTCCTTCTTAGCATCTGACACCTTAGTTTCTGAAATCTTCACATCTTTCACTCTTTTAGTTTGTACTTGAAGCTTTTTTTCCTTTGGGTCTAGCCACACACAAACGAAGCATTTCAGCTTGACATTGCAATAACTCATCAGCTCGTCCTGCTACTGCATCCCCCCACTGATCTATATACTAAAATTGGTTAGGATAGTTTTCTTAAAAGTCCCCTCTGGGGGCCACCCCACACCCATATTACGCCCCCCCCCCATCCTAACACACTGCCAATGACCTACAGCGCCGGCGGTCATTCGTAGGGAATGCACTGGCTTAACCACCCACACAACCTAACACGGACTTCATTAGGATCGCCGTCCCGAGTCCAGGGGAGTGATCAGGCCCCCTCGTCTATCTTCAAGTGAGATAGGTACCATTACTTTAAACACATACTCGCCTGCCTTGTAGTTACACCCATCCTGGCCAGGAGTTGGTTCAGACTTCCTTTCCTTTCCCAAAGGGTTCTTGGACTGGCCTTCAGTACTGTCGGCTCTGCTGCGAAGCCACAGCTGTCTCCTGGAGGAAACACACCCCCATGGCGCCTGGAGAATTGTTCAGAGATGGCTTACCAGCAGGTCCGAAGGGTCCAGCCGTCCTCAGCGAAATATCGCCTCACTCAAGCTTTTCCCGGCCAATGCACCAGAAAATGTTGTAGAAATCAAAGACTTGAATCAGCTCTTTCAGGAAAGGGACGTTTATTGCGCGCAGGTTCAGAGAGCCATCCTGGCTTAAACAGTCTGAACTCAGATTGTACATTGAAGACCATTTTTATAACCCTTTCTGGCGGGGGTTATTTTTAGGTCACATTACATTCTATAGGTCCTTATTCTAACATAGGAAAACTACTAGACAGATCTATAATCGATAGCTCCTCGTTTACATTGGAATGTTTTTAGCAATCAGCAATATATCAAGTGTTAAGCAATTTAGATAATCCATGTGACAGGCAGTTAGTAATATATCATGTGCAGAGCTGGGAACAGGATGTCTGGCCATCCTAAATTTAAGAGTTGTCTTGTAAGCAAAACAAACCTCTCTTTTACCCACATTTTTGTTGGGCCATCTGCTTTTTATACACATCCTTTGTCGGACCATCAGTATTTTTCCAGGTACCACTTTATCAGGAACATTATATTAATTTCAAATATGAAAATAAAATATGGATGTTAAAATTGAAAAGATAGCATATATTATCCCTTAGTGAAAAAGAACCAATGTTCCAGCCAAATCTACTGCTCTATGATTAACTGAAAAAAAAATTCAGTTTTATATCTGGTTTAGTATCTTCTTGATAAAAAAAGGAGATTGCTAACTACCAGAAATAGTTGTTAATTAAATGCCTGTTAAGAGTGATTTAACCAAAGCTTGAACTGTGGCCTTGTATATAACATTGTGCTTTTGTATATTTGCGTCTACATATTTCCTCATATCCTTAGAGTAAGGAACCAGAAAGTATGGGAATTGAGGAACTGGTTTTCCAAAGGTATGTGCATTTTACAATGATATGTGCTGGAACGGTAGTGTGGAAAGTTGTGGTAAGAACATGAATGAATGTGAAAAACTGTGGTCAAAACAAGAACAAGAAATTGGCTCAATTGCCATTATGACCCCAGAGGTCATGTACTTCTGTGTTTAAGGTATAAAAGAGTGGAACTGAAAAGGGATAAAACATTTCAGAAAGCATATAACTGACTTTTTCCTGTATTACCTGATACAAACCCAATATTGTCCTAATCCTACGAAGGCCTAAATACATGCTACCACTACATGGACATACCTCAACACAGCACATTAGCACATATCATGTATTCAATGTTGGTGTAATTTTTACAATGTAAATAGAGGTTTCCATAAATCAGACTTCCAGCCAGGTGCCCTTCAGATGTGTTGGGAAAGAAGGCTAACTTAAAATCATCTTCATTTTAACTATAGTATATATCCGTGGTGGCGAACCTATGGCATGTGTGCCACAGGTAGCACGCAGAGCCCTCTCTGTGGGTACGTGCACCGTCACCCCAGTCCTAGGCCTTCAGTCCCGTCCATGAGCAACCTGCATCAATACCCGCGCAGGGTAAGATTACCATGCCCACCCCCACCTCCCCGAGCATTTTTTACTAACCTACCTTTCAGCTGCATTCCGTTTCTCCATTCGCTTCTCAGCCTTCGCCGTCTTTCTGGGACTATAGGAAAAAAAAAGCTCCATCAGACTTTAACTTCTTGTGAGATCTCAAGAAGTTAGAAAGTCTGATGAAAGTTTTTTACCCATGGTCCCACAAACACACAATGAAAGCTGAGAAGCGAATGGAGAAACGGAATCAATCATTCAATCAATTCCAACTTCGCAATCTTTCACGAGAAATTGGAATTGATTGATTGACCTTCCCCCCCCCCAAAAAAAGCTTTCTTTGTTTCCTTGCACGTGGCGGCGGATTGCAAAGGAGCAATGGCACGGGGCTGGAAGTCAGGTAAGGAAAGAAAGGCAATTTCTGGGGGGAGTGAGGATTTCTTTCCTTAACTGCCCCACTTGTTCTGAGGCCACTTTCCGCTCAACCACATTGCTCTTGCCAATGGCCTGACTGCCCACTTCAGCGCCCTCCCTCCCTGAGCCTCCGGCGCTCCATCTGCAGCTTTGGTGGCTCTGTAAGGAGAGCTGTGAAATTCTCTTCTCTGTCAGAGAACTTCGCAACTCTGCCTACAGAGCCACCAAAGCTGTAGCTGAATGGGCAGATGAGGGGGGAACCTGCCCCACTTGTTCCATGGCCGAGCTGCATTGCAGCGGCATTGGACGCAATACTTGAAGTGGCAAACAGCCACGTTGCACCAAAACTGTCCGTTTGCCGCCTCCTGCCCACTGCCGCTGCCATGAGGCCACAGAACAAGCCAGGCGGTGGTAAGAAACTGGTATAGTGGTTCCTTACCTTCGCCCGGCTTGTTCCACGGCCTCACGGCAGTGGCATTGGGTGCGACGCATGAGACGGCAAATGGCTGTGGCCAGAGGCAAAGAGTTGTGTCACACCAAAACCTGTCGTTTGCCACCTCCTGCCCTATGCCGCTGCCATGAGGCTGCGGAACAAGCCGGGCAGCGGTAAGAAACCGGTATACCAGTTCCTTACCTCTGCCCGGCTTGTTCCGTGGAAGTTTTTTACCCATAGTTCCACGATGCGCGAGGTGGCAAACAGCTACATCACACTGAAACCGAGGGGCCAGCAGGCTGTGGCTACTGATGGACACAGTTGGCCCCAATGTGCTTGCTGTGTGTGGGTGCCGATGGTGTCAGGCAGCAGCTGCCCCTACCTCGCCTTGCCTTGCCCTGTGGCAATGGTACCCCTGCCCTGCCCCCTGCCTCACCTCACCTCACCCCGCAGGACGAGCCTCCTGCCCACCATCCCACCCACCAGAGGCTCTGCCTGGCCCCCACAGGCGTCCCTCCCCACGAGTAACATTGAGGTGGCCACGCCCATCCTGGCCACGCCCACCCAGTCTGCCATGACCACCACAGCCACACCCACCCAATGGGCCACACCCACCCGGCACCCGATGATACATAAGTGGGTTTTGGGTTGCAGTTTGGGCACTCAGTCTCTAAAAGGTTCGCCACCACTGGTATATATCCTTCAAATTCTCCATTCCAATACATAAATATTTTCTTAAAATCTTCTACTGTAATCTCATGTTTCTAAAAAGGTTCTTCTATTTGAAATTCCTAAACTTTATTTTCCCTCCCAACCTTTTAATCTCTTAATGGAAGAAGGGGATTTTCTCGACATTTGTCTCCTTCTAAATCAGTGTTTTTCAAACTTGACAACTTTAAGATGTGTGAGTTTCAACTCCCAGCATTCCTTACCCAGTATGCTGAGGTATTCTGGGAGTTGAAGCAGTAATGGATTTAGCCAGTTCGCACCAGTTCGACAGAACCGATAGCTAATTTTTTATTACCCAAGCCCAGAACGGACTTCTGGAAGTGGCATCCACACAGAGAACCGGTTGTTCACATATTTGAATCCCACCACTGAGTTGAAGTCCATACATCTTGTCAAGTTTGAAAAACATAGTTCTATATTGTTCAATTGAGGAAGCCTTCTTTGTTCCTTTTAGGCACATTATACTTAGTTATTATGGATTTACCTTTCTTTTCAGCCAAGAAGAAAATTCCAAGTTATCCTTTGAATTCAATCCCGTACTTGTATCAACCAGATGAAAATAAATACATATGTTTTATAATAAATGCATAAACCTGGAAGAATCCAGAATGATTTCAACAGCAAGCTTTTATTCTTTGCTTGTGACACAAGATATGTATCTTTGTTTTAGACAGCAGAAGTGGCCCTGGCCAACCTGAAAAATAAATACGAGAACGAGAAAGCCATGGTAACAGAAACAATGACTAAACTGCGCAACGAATTAAAAGCTTTGAAAGAAGATGCAGCAACCTTCTCATCCTTGAGAGCCATGTTTGCAACCAGGTACAAAAACTAACTGTCAAGACAGGAATTTAGCTTGTTAAGCAGGAGTTTAGGTTTGACTTGGCACGAAAAAAGAGGCAAAGACCAGTCTCTCTGAGTCACACTTCTTTTTTTCAGATCTGAAGAAAGGTGGGTCCTCCCATAAAACATACAATCCTTGGTCATCAGAATCCTGGACAACAAGATGGAGGGAAAAGGCACTGGAATTAGGGGTGCTGACTTACAAGCTCTTTAGGAGCAGTTTTTCTAGGACATTGTTTATGAGCTGTTTTATATTCCTAGCAGTTTTGAAGCCATTGTCTCAGCCAACTGTTCTCCAGGGGTTCAGGCAAGAGCTGATTTTAACTTTATCTGCAGAAAAATTCTCCAGAACAATCAGTTCATAATTATGTATTAGCTCTATATATCTGCATCCCTAAATAATTTGTCCATGAGATTCTGATCTGTTCATAGTATTAATTTGTGAAGGTACAGTAAAGTCAGTAAGCATGATTCCTTTCCCTCCTATTGTTCTTTAAAAAAAAAAGAATTGCTAATATGATGATGATGATGATGATGATGATAATACAGTTGGAAGGGACCTTGGAGGTCTTCTCGTCCAACCCCCTGCTCAGACAGGAAACTCTATACCAGGGATCCCCAACCACCGGTCCATGGATTGGTACCAGGCCGCAGCATGCAAGCAACCAGGCCATAAAAAAAAGCAAAGCCCCATTTGTGGGATGCAGGCAGCACACGAAATCAAGCCCCCTCCTGTGTGTGGAAAAACCTCTCTCCACATAATGATTCCTGGTGCTCAAAAGGTTGGAGACCTCTGCCCTACACCATTTCAGACAAATGGCTGTCCAGTCTCTTCTTAAAAACTTCCAATGTTGCAGAATTCACAACTTCTGGAGGCAGATTGTTCCACTGATTCATTGTTCTAACTGTCAGGAAATGTTTTCTTAATTCTAGGTTGCTTCCCTCTTTGATTAGTTTCCATCCATTGTTTTTTGTCCTGCCTTCAGGTGCTTTGGAGAATAGTTTGACTCCCTTTTCTTTGTGGCAGCCCCTGAGATATTGGAACATTGCTATCATGTCACTCCTAGTCCTTCTCTTCATTAAACTAGACATACCCAATTCCAGCAAGCATTCCTTATATGTTTTAGCCTCCAGTCCCCTAATCATCTTTGTTGCGCTTCTCTGTACTCTTTCTAAAGAGTCTCAGCATCTTTTTTCACATCGTGGTGAGCAAAACTGGATGTAGTATTCCAAGTGTGGCCCTTGCCAAGGCCACACTTATTTATTTAAAAGGATAAAAATGAGCATAACCTGGACTGGTGAAGCTGATAAGAAAAGAAATTGGGCTTCAAGATATATTGATGGGAAAAAAAACACTTAAGAATATACTGGCAATTGGAAATGATCCAAGAATTATTTTATTAAAGCTAACAAGTTACAAAGAGTCTCTGTTCTCCAGCTATCAAGAGAGAAGAACACCAATCAAACTCTTATAAAGAGTTGTAGAGATTTAAGTTGAGCGTACTACACATTTCACCATTGACCAATAATTATTTTAGCCCTGATAAGGAAGACAGATAAAGAGTACAAAGGAATCTGACTGTCCCTGTGTGAGAACACTTTATTATGTAGAATACTTAGCCTGTGGGAACCAATTAAGCTGATGGTTATTCTAATCTAACCCTCTCCCACTTTGAATAGGGGAAGTTGTAAACACACAGATAGGTGCATACAAACAATAAAGGTATCCTCCACAATATTTAAATTTTAGGATTTTGTAGTTTAGAAGGAAGGCAAAGCAGATGACTTTTTAAAAATCCTCTAAAATGTCAACTTTTTTTTAACCTGATACTTTATCAAATTAAACAAGTAATTTTTTTAAAAAAATATTGTTTTTCTTTTCTTGGTTCATTGTTAACTTTAAACAAGCTTTACAAACACCATGTGGCAGGTCATAAAAGAAGTCCCTGCACTTTGCTTTTAGTGAAAGGAAGTAATAAAAAAGGTAGATTAAGCTTCTAGAAGAAATCTTTCACTTACACTATTTAATACAATTTTCCAAAATCTGTTGATTCTGTACGTTGCATGTACAAAAGTACCATTCTTATTTCCCATTGGTTTTATTTTATAACCTCTTGCTTAAATTAGCCATTAAAACATTTGTAGAATTAAGTCTGAGCCATTGATAAATAATGGGGTCAGACTCCACTTAAATGTAGCATAATGTGATTTTCTAAAATTTGGCTTATACACAATATATATTTGGGTAAGCAAACAGAAAAAAAATTCAGTAAAATTACAGATTCTTCACTCAGTGACTGAAACTATAACCCAGCATTTGATTCTCTGGAAAAATGCTGTTTTGGTATCATGGATAATTTCTGTTTCAATTTGTAAGTGATCATTACATCAAGCATCAAGGTAATTTTTTAAAAAAAGAAATAGTCATCTTCCTACCCTAAAAACCGCCCGTGTAAATGTAGTAGCAGAAGTCACTTTCAAAGTAAGAAATATAGTCGCAGCAAAAGGAGAGTGCTGTCAGTAGATAGCTGGTCTATGAATACAATAAAACAGGGGTGTCAAACTCAATTTCATTGAGGGCCGCATCAGCATTGCGGTTGCCCTGGGGGGTGTGTGGCCAGGGTGGGTGCAGCCTACTGGGTGGGCGTGGATGGAGTGGGTGTGGCCTACTGGGTGGGCATGGCCAGCTCTACATCATTCGTGTCAAGGGGGCCTGTGGGGGCCTGGGCAGGAGTGGAACAGATCTGAGAGTCTCTGGCAGAAAGGGGTGGGACAAGGGCAGAGCCCATCAAGCTGGATATGTGAAGTAGGCGAGGGCCATTTGCTGGCCACTTCCAGGCGATGGTGCATTTCTTCATTCCTCACAAAGGGTGACACCTTCCCAGCATGCACCCAAGAGGTGGGGCTGATGCAGCAGGGGCTGGTTCCTCGCTGTTTCCAGACAGCCTTGTGGAGCTGAATGCATTTCAGCATAGATGGCCACCACAAAATTGTACATTGGTTCTCGGCCGGCCTGGGCCAGGGCCAAGGCAGCGGGGGCCGTTCCCTCACTGTTTCCAGGATGGCTTCACGGGCCACATGAAACCAGTCATAAATGGAAGGTTGCAAAGCTTTTTTTTTTTTACAAACAGTTGTTAAATGAGGCAATTGGTAATCAAGGACTATATTTTCTTTCAGTGGGTCTCCTGGAGTGCTCTGCTTTAGGCAGCACTTACTGTTATGGATTTGTGTCCCTACGTTATCCTTAGTTCAGTTGCTTTGGAAGAAGAATAGATAGAGTATATCCATGGTAAGATTAGCTGTGCCAGAAAGAACAAAAGCTGCTCTGGAATGTGTGGAGGTGTGAACAAGCCAGGGCAACACTCCTGATGAAAGGTCTAATTGTTTTAAAGAATTGCTGACAGTTGCCAGGTTTGCAACTTTAGCCTCTATGAAGCTCCTTTTTATCTTAAATCTGAAGTGCCTCAAAAGATCTTTGATGCTGCTGAAACCCAAAGGAATGACTTTTAGAATAGAACAGAATAGAATAGAATAACAGAGTTGGAAAGGACCTTGCAGGTCATCTAGTCCAACGCCCTGCCCAAGCAGGAGTCCCTACATCATTTCTGACAATCTCTTCTTGGAAGTGATGAAACACCAACAATATCTGAAGGCAGTCTGTTCCATTGGTTGATTCTTCTCACTGTCAGGACCCCTCTCCCCACTTAGAAAGTGTTGGTGCTGATGTCCACATGGTTCATGTATGCCAGGCATGTCAAACTCGCAACGTCATATGACATCGCATGACATATCGGGGCTTTCCCCCCATTGCTGGCAATGGTGTGGGCACGGTTTCGGTGTGACGCATCCGGCACATGGGTCGGCAGTTTGACATGCCTGATGTATGCAAAAGAAAAAAAAAAGGCTGACCAGGACAGCTTGACCTGTTCCTCTTTCCTTTTTTCCCTCCAGGTGTGATGAGTATGTCACCCAGTTGGATGAGATGCAGAGGCAATTGGCAGCTGCAGAGGATGAGAAAAACACCTTAAATTCTTTGCTGAGGATGGCTATCCAGCAAAAACTCGCCCTGACTCAACGCTTGGAAGACTTAGAGTTTGATCATGAGCAGTCCCGGCGGAGCAAAGGCAAACTTGGGAAAACCAAAATCGGCAGCCCTAAAGTAAGTGAGGAGGCATCAGCCACCGTGTCAACCATAGACACTTTCCTCCTGCATAGTCAGGGCCCACAACCACCAAACATACTGGTCAGCAGTGGCACTCAGAGGAAAAGGTATGCATGCAGTCCTATTTATAGTACAGTGCAGTGGCCTGACTTGATTTAAGGTCATCCACTGAATTGCAAATACATTATATATTTTATGAGAAGAGGTTGGGGATGGGGGGAAGAGAAGTAATGGCTTTTCAAACTGTAAACATGGGCTTTTAATTCCATCTGCCATGGTATTTTCTTGTCCCTTTTGATACGGTCATAGTTCATGTCTTCTTAGCATTTCAGCATATTCTGTATGTCTTGAATGCCTCTGTTTGAGATAGAGCTGAATACCTCAGATGCAGGGCTGAGCCTATGTTGAAAAAAAGCACATCTATCGAAAATGGAACATTCTAATAAACTTTGGTGCTAATATATTTCCCTCAGTGGGTGGAGGGTTTTCATTCCCATGTGCTTCTCAGTGTACGTGTCAAAAAAGCACAAAGAAAGAATGAACGTCTAAGACAAACTCATATTTGACAATCCTGCTAAAGGCCGTACCACTGTAAGAACCAATTCAAGTATGTCCCTGTAGATACAGTTCTGTTCGGTGTAACTTTTAACTACAATCATGTAAATATGTCTGGAAGTCTACCTTCTAAGGAAAGAACAGCGGGTAACCCACGACAATGTATTTATGATGATGATTTGTAGTAAATTTATGTTGCTGTGGAACTATGTTGATTCCTGGCAACATCCAAAAACCATCTCCAAGAGGTGGAGGGGCAGATGCCATCCTAGTGTGACAAGCGGCAGCAAGAATAGATTGTATTGAATGCATATGCTGGGACATCACAGTATTGACTTGGCTTGATTGATCACTCAAGTTGAATACCTATTTTTTTCCTCAGATATACAAAATCCTCCCTCCCCCGTAGCATTCTATTATGGGATGGCAGCAATTATAGAAGATATTAGCAATATTTTGGGTGATTTTTCAGGAGGGTGGGTGATGTGTGATGTGTAATTCCAGGGGTCATTGCTCAGTAATTAAAGTAAAAACTCTTTTGTTTCCGTATGTATTTTTTCTTGGATCTCCTGCAAGACAATTCTCACCTTCCCCTTGTGATCAGAGCCATTCCAGGACTTCAGGGACCTATCTACTGCCTTTATTAAGAGCCCCCCCAGATCACACCTCCACAGAGTCATTTCTTCTGAGGGGTCCCATTTCCATGAATGAATCCTTCCATGGGCACCGTCTCAGCAAGGAAAAAAGGTTAACCGAACCCATCCCAGGTAAACACTTTTTCCTTGGGTGCATGTAGTGCAAAATGATTAGCTTAAGTAGAAGGGGAATCCTCTCCAAATGCTCTACATGCTATCTTTAATTTGGACATATGCTCACCTCTTTAGAGATGAGCATCCTCAAAGTACTTTCCCAAAGCTTATTTTTGACTAAGCAGACGGAGGGTTTAATACAAAGTGTTTTTTACTTATTTAAATTTCTACTACACAAAAGATATAGTGGCTCATATTTCTCTCTAACCCAGTTGGTGAAGTGTTAGATCAATGTTTCTCAACTTTGGCAACTCTAAGGTATGTGGAATTCTAGGAGTTGAAGTCCACATATCTTAAAGTTGCTAAGGTTGAGAAACACTGAGTTAGTGATAAAAGCATCTCAATGAAATAAGCTTCCCTGGCCCTTCCCTCATTATGAACTAAGTAAATTGTAGACTTTCTAATCCATATTAAGCCACAGTTATGTGTTTTGCCTGGATTAAATAAAAATTAAGACAGTTTTTTTTTCTGAGTTCAGAGGTAAAAATGCTCTCTAGATAAATATTGAAGGCTGTCAACCATAGGAAGAATGACAGAAAAGATCTTCTGTCCCAACACTGATTCAGTTTGTAAAAATGGTTTATGAAATCTCATGTAATATGACCAGTGCTCATAATACTTTAGCCACTATCTTTTAAATTTCCTTTCTATAGGTCCGTCCGTGTATATAACATATTGGCAAAGCAAAAGAGAAATATAGCAAAAAGAAATCTTTTGCATACCTACACACTATACAAATAGAATACGATGGATATATTTTTATACAGAAAACAGTGTTTTCTCAAATTGCATTCTTTGGGAACATTTTGATAAGAATAAGTCCTTACTTTCCCTATGAATCATGATTTTAAAAATGCACATTGACAGAAGCTTAGGAAAGTACTGCACACACAAGGCAGAACCTAATCTATTACCTCTAAAAGAAGTATCTTTTTCTTGAAGTGATATTTGGAGGGCTTTGGCTGTTCTACACCTTTGATTTTCAAAAACCTTCTCCTACCGTAATAGAGTTTTAAGTTACCCATGTCAATCAGCTTTGCTAGTTCAAAGAGGGTGAAGTCTCAAAACATTAGTGTAAATATTCAAAAAAGCCATGGATTTATCTTCAGAAGTTACTGACTCGCAAACAAAATCTTTTTGTATATTTTTTTGCAATTCTTCCCAACCTGTAGCCATGATTTAAACTTACTTTAAAATGCCAGTGTGCTATGTTCATTATGGCCAAGATTATAATCCTAGTTTATTTCTAACTGGTTTTCAAGTCTTGACCCTTGCTAATTTGTAAAACTATGAGAATAGAGAAGATAAAAATAGAAAAAATGTTGCTTTGGCTAAATTGCTTTTTATTGCTTTTCTCACCCTCATTTCCTCCCTTTTCATTCTCCCTCAACCTTCAAGTTTCCCTGCTTAACCCTTTCCTTATCTAGCATTCTGGGAATGTCAGAATGCTCCTGCTTTTTTTTTTTTTTTTTTGATGTTGTTTTTCATAGAAAAAGACTATTGCTTTGAAAATGTAGATAATACTGATTTAGTGCAAAATGAAAAATTCTTAAAGGGAGCAAATGTTGATACCAAGCATTAATTACACATTGTTTAAGATGGTTAAATATTTTCCCAGACCGATTTAATATCAATGAAATTGGGATACCTCATCCTTTTTGATCTGGGGCACATTAATCAGTTAGATAAAATGCAATGAACATTTTCATAAAGTGACTGCCAGGCCAATCAGAAAATGAACAGCTGTCCACAGAAATATCTGTAGTGGTATGTAGATAGTCAAAATATAAAACAGACTTCTTTTTTCAACAGAATCAGGTTTTTTTAATAAAAAATGATTTAGATACAGAACATAAATAAAAGATAGGGCTGAAGTCTGATTTCTCTCCTTCCTCCGCAGAGCATAACAAATACCACTTTTGCAAAAGAGAACTTTGCAGTACTTAAACCACCCTCCTGCACAACTTTAAGTTGCTGTGTGGGAATGCTGAAAGGAAACATCTTATGATGCAAAGCTGTCCTGCTCCATCTTGGAACTCAATAGGAATTCACTTTGTAGTAAAACTACATTCTAAACTACTGTGTCTGATATGAAACTGTATAATATCAACTTGTTTGTTTTTCAACAGTCTCAAACAACCCAGGTTAAAAATTGTCTAAATATTTTGGAGACCATGAAGAACAAGGTTATAAATAGTTGTAGGTGCTTGTTTTATATTAAAGAAAAACCTTGCCATACATTTTTTTCAGTTCAAGGCATAGTTTGAGAGAATACTGTATGTGGAGCTCAAGAATAATTGGTTTAGAACAAAGATAGCTGTTATACTAAGTAGTAAACAGCTATCTTTGTTCTAAACCAATAAGTAAAATCTGAAAACTCATATTGGCATATTTTCTTAGACAGAGAACCTTGACACATTTCAACAAACTGCAGTGGTGTCTCTCATCCTTTGTATAACTTCCACATTTGAAAGGAAGCTCCTTCTCATTATTCTTGACTATTGATTACAGATTTATTATTACTATATTATGTTTTGTACTGTGTTTTATTTTGTACACTTCAAAGAATATGAGGCAGCTTGTAAATTTAAAAAAACTATAATCCAATATATAATTTTGTGGCTGGGATTATACTCCAGCAAAATTCCACAAGCATTACCTTTTTGAGCTAGTGAGTCAAACTTGGCTCCTGGTCTCTAAATGCAAACATCCATGTTGGTGATTTGGTTTTATGCAAGCAGTTTGCCATTGCCTTTAAAAAATAAAAAAACTTCTTACAGCTCTAGAGTTTCCTGGTGATTTCCCACCTCGTTTGACTGTACAGATAGTCCTCGACTTACAACAGTTCATTTAGTGACTATTCAAAATTACAACGGAACTAAAAAAAGTGATTTCTGACTATTTTTCACACTTATTACCATTCCAGCATCCCCATGGTCATGTGATTAAATAAATATTTATGATGGTTTCAGTGTCCAAAGGTCATGTGATTGATTATCTTTTGCAACCGTTTTACAAGCAAAGTCAACGGGAAAGCCAAATTCACTTAACAATCATGTTGCTATGTTAACAACTGCAGTGATTCACTTAACAATTGGAACAAAATTCACTTAACAAATGTTTTGCGTAGCAACAGAAATTTTGGGCTCAGTTGTGGTTGTAAGTCGAGGACTACCTATAATTAGTTTTTTCAAGATCAGCTAAGTACTGTCATTTGCTGTAACGTTCCAGAACCTACTACCTCTATAGGACCTAGCAGATACGTATCCCAAAAAACCCTTCTAAAAAGTCTCCCATAACTTTAGAAGCATCCAGGCAAAATGCTCTTTTATAACTAAAGTCCTAACTGAAAATTGGAAGGAAAACAAATCAGAAATTGGCCAGCACACCTTTTATGAGGTTATATGGCTGAGGTTCTAGTGAACAAGATAGGATGAAAACAAATGGCATGGCATTGTTCAAATTTAAACCACGGTATGATTTCATATCTAGTTGTGAGAGGCAATCAAAACAAATCATTGTTAATGTTACCTTGACAAAATCATCTCTCTTGTAGCTTGCTTATTACTTACAAGTTCCTCTCTTCTACCTCTCTAAAGTCGTGGCTCCAGTGCAACGTTTCCCAGTACGGGACATCTCTCATGAGGAACACTTGAAAGCCATTTTGATGGATTTGGCAACTAGGCCCAAAACATGTTACCAAATACAAGGTGGGGGTATTTTTAATTATATAAGTAATTCCACCACCACTAATAATTACTTTGTTGGATTGTGCTAAAGTTAGTCCCAAGATACTGTGTCTTTGGTGGAAATAGGTTGAACTGATATATTTTAAATGTTAAATGCAAGAGACTAATAGCCCAACACCCCTTTTCCAATTACTCTCTTGTAACTTCTTGTAGTCCATATTTTTGCTTTATTGTTCCACTCAAATGTAGAGAAGTTTGTTTGAATACCCTTTTAATGTTTCAAAGCAAAGTAACATAGAATAAAATGTTCCAGGGAAATATTATATATATATTATTTTTCTTTATAAAGGCAAATAAAGGGAAAACGGCCTTTTCCTTATTTCCATTAAATAATATTTCCATTAAAAATGCCTGTAGGAACAAAGAAAACGAAATACAGTGAGGGTTAGGATCTGTACTTCCAGAGACATAGAGAATTGAAAAGAACATCTTTTACAACACTGGCAGCACAATCTCAGAGACTGATTCATTTGGTTATTCTTCCTTTTCTAAATTACAAATACAAATATCAGCCAAGAAAAAAAAATTACAAATATGAAAGAAATAAGATTCTATTCCAGCATTTTTTAATCTTGGCAACTGTAAGATTTGTGGACTTCAACTCCCAGAATTCTCCAGCCAATATGGAAGTACTTAAATCCTGGGAATTGAGTTCACACATCTTAAAGTTGCTAGGGTTGCAATACACTGCTCTATTCAGCTACACTCTACACAGAGTAGATATGGGGAAGAAGCAGCAGCAACACCAACAGCTTTTCCTTCTTTCAGATTGAGGGGAGGACAATCTTTCCCCAAAAGAGTGCCTATTGCAGTAACTGGGGTCTATAGGTGTAAGATGACCTCATAGTCCCCATACAAGGGCTATGATGCTGAAAATACCCAGTATATATGCTCACAGTAAAGTCATACACATGAACTTCTGAGTTATTCCACTTTGTCTATCTCTTTATTAAGGCTGTTATCTTGAAAGCTCAGGATCTTCACCCTGTGTCCAGGCCTGATAAACCACACCACATAGGTGGAAAGGAGTAAGGCTTTTATTTGAAAATAAAAGGTTTCCCAGGAGGAAATTTCAAAGTGAGCACATATCTCTTTTTGGAGTTGTAAGGTTTTCCACTTAACCTCACAGACTTCTCTGCGCTACTCAGAAATTTCAAAGAGCCAAAAGAAACTCCTGAGCCGAGGTTCCAGCAAAGAAAACAACTTTATTTTGGCCAAGATAGAGTTGGGTAACTCTATCTTCTCCCTCTTTGTGGCTGTACACCCAGAAGAGATTTCTTCTACCTGTATACTCTTTCAGAACAAAGAGATCCAGGTCTCTGTACCAGGGGCAAGGAAGCACAGAAAAACAAATTCCAAGATGATGACTCATATACATCAATCCAAGTTCCAACCGTAACTCATTTCCTTCCCCCTCCTCCTTATTTCTTGGACCACTGGACCTTACCTTGCTTTTTCCATGTAAGCAATCTCCTGTATATTTGGCATGAGACATTGCTTTTTCAATATATATGAAACATTTGCTTTTATGTAAGTAATTTCCTGATATGAGGCACTTGTAAGGTTGCATATAAGCAAATTTATATAAAATGGCTACAAACTAACATTACTAATGTCAAACTTAAACATAATTAAATCATAAGCATAATGAAATCATAAGTAGAATAAGGTTCCTTCAAAGGCTTTTATCTTACAATAACATTCCTGAGCTAACAAACATTCCTAAGTAACTTGGTACCAGGCTGTTATCATCTTGACAAGCAGGCATTCCTAATTGCAAAGGAAGATGGGATGGTCTGGTTTCCCTCTAGTGCCATCATATACACCTAACAAGCAGATTAACCAGCGAAATAGGTACAAAATGCCACAGCTAAAGCTATGTATTAAATAATAAGCAATACATGAATTAAAATGATTTATCAATGCATAAATAAAATAGGTTAAAATGGGCTGTCTCCTTAAGGTCAATCAGATATATTAAGCTCAAACTATATATTACACTAAATTTGCTTTTAGAAAAAAGAGGCTTAACCAGGCCACATGTTTAATAGAAAAATACATGTACAGGAACTCCCTATAATTCTCCCCCCCCCTTTTTTTTTCAAAATTAACTCCAGTTATTACAACATACATTTTAAAGCGTATGTGACCTGTGCTTTGGCTCATATAGCTCAAAGCTACCGTATTTATACTGTGTATATTATTTAATCTGTTTTATATGGTTTTCTTGCAATGTATGGCTGTGAAAGTTGGACCATAAGAAAGGCTGAGCGCCAAAGAATTGAGGCCTTTGAACTATGATGCTGGAGAAGACTCCTGCGAGTCCCTTGGACTGCAAGGCGTTCAAACCGGTCAGTCCTAGAAGAGATCAACCCCGACTGCTCTTTAGAAGGCCAGATCCTGAAGTTGAAACTCAAATACTTTGGCCACCTAATGAGAAGGAAGGACTCACTGGAGAAGGGCCTAATGCTGGGAAAGATTGAGGGCAATAGAAGAAGGGGACGACAGAGAATGAGATGGCTGGATGGAGTCACTGAAGCAGTAGGTGTGAACTTAAATGGACTCCAGAAAATGGTAGAGGGCAGGAAGACCTGGAGGAACGTTGTCCATGGGGTCGCGATGGGTTGGACACGATTTCGCAATTAACAACAACAACAAATATGGTTTTCAATGTGGAGACTCAGTTTGGTATAGTGGTTAAGGTGCTGACCTAGAAACCAGGAGACCATGAATTCTAGTCCTGACTTAGGCAAGAAAACCAGGTGGGTGACTTTGGGCCAGTTGCTTTCTTTCAGCTCAACTCAGTTAACAGGGTTAACCATCCATATTTGCAATAAATATAGCATTATTAGAGCTGGACGCTGAGAATGGCTCATTGAAGAAGAATTGATGCCTTTGAACTGTAGTGCTTGCGTATACCATGGACAGCTAGAGTAACTAACAGAGAGGTGTTAAATTGTATAAAACCCAAACACATCACTGGAAGATAAAATCATAAGACTACATCTGATTTACTTTGGCCATGTTAGGCTTGCAAATTCATTGGAGAAGGCAATGATGCTAAGAATGGTTAGTGGACAAAGAAGAAGAGGCAACAGGCTGGCTTGATAACATCAATTCTGATGCAAAGTTGATCATACAACAATTGAGAGAAGCTGTGCTTGACAGGGTAGTATGGAGAGCACTTGCCTATAAAGTCACCAAGAATTGGACATGATTAAATGGTTAAAAACAAAACGAAACATAGCATTCAGTGCACAGTGCTTAAAAGAGTTGGGAGTGAAAAAAAATTATAAACAGTGCTCACACAAGGAAAGGCAAGGAAGGACTGGATGAAGGGATGACCTTTACATTCCAAAATAAGTGCCTTGTAAATAGCAAAAAAAAAAAAAAAGTCCCTAGTCAAGTGGAATCATAGGGAAAGTCCACTTCTGTGTAGTTGATGGGTGAGATCTGCAGAGTCTGTACCAAGGGTATTAATAAGTGTCCAAATCTGTATAAAGCAAAAGAAGATTGTAGGCAGCTGAGGTACCATTGTTTAGAATCTTATTCATGCCAATAATAAGTGAAGGAAGAGGGGTGTCCTTGGTGCTCTCTGAGCTTGCTTGTTTTCTTGCAGATGTTTCACTGCACAAACTAGGTAACATTATCAGTGTTACCTACTTTGGGTAATGAAATGTCTGCAAGAAAACAAGCAAGCTCAGAGAGCACCAAAGACCCCTCATTTCAACCCTGAGTTACAAATGTTCTTTATTGATAAATGAATGGATTTAGTTTGAATTATACTTTTGAATTGCAGAAATGTGAAGAGCAGGCAAACATTGGAAAATATTTCCCCTTTAGGCTTCCACACCTTGAGAAAGCAAGACCTCCTGTGTTGGACGATGCTTACTTCTTGTAGGCGTGTTTCACATTTCAATCTTAGTTATTACACAAATGCATGGGAACCAGCATAGAGGGAATTAAACAACCAGATTTCACAGATTGTGAAAATAACAGCAGTGAATTAATATTCAGTGTAAGCATGAAAAAATGTAGGATCAAAGTATATTGATAATTTTTTTTAATCTTCTTAGTGCCATGATTTCTAAACAAAGATTAGATAGACTGCATGAAGTTTTAAAATATTGACTGGAATTTCTTGACTTCAACTAGAGGAACATCTGCTGCTTTGATAGTGGTGGGCAGGTGCCTTTCCCCATTTATGATTGTAGAACAGTATTTTAAATATATGTATAGCTTCCTAGTTAAAACTGTTGCCTCTTTCATTGCGGTTCATATGATAGAAGAGAATGTAAATAAGGCACACAGGCTTACCGTATTTAATGCAGTTATCATTTTCTTAAGCAGGAAGTGCTAAATGCATTTTTAAATGCAATTTAAACATCTTTACAAGAACATTTAAATTGCTTTGTACTTTATTAAATAAATACAGGTTTTGTTTCTCATGCTGTGAAAGAACAGCAATGTATTGAAGGAACTCATAGAACAAGCTAGTACAATTGAGCAGGGACATGGAAGGATTAATGCAGCTACTAAGTCAGTGAAGTAATATGTCTATGGCAGTGTTTCTCAACCTTGACAATTTTAAAGCATGTGGACTTCAACTTCCAGAATTCCACAGCCAGCAATGTTGGCTGTGGAATTCTAGGAGTTGAAGTCCACATGCCTTAAAATTGTCAAGGTTGAGAAACACTGGTCTATGGTGATTCTCAGTCATCCAGGTCATAGTTTTCCCAAAGATGCTTTTTCATGAGGCAACTGGACTTTCTTGTTTTTCTTTGAAGACATTTCGCTTTTCATCAAGAAGCTTCTTCAGCTCTGACTGGATGGTGGGGAATGGAAGGATTTATACTCCATGCAGGCAGCTGGTCATTTGCATCCTTTTAGTCACTGAGGCCACTTGGAGGTTAATCTATGTCATCAGGGTCACCTGAGTAGTACAAATGTGTGTGGTGCCATCTTGGAACTGTTGAAAGGACTGTGTTGTAGACTGGAAATAGATGGTGTCATAGCCCTCCCCCTCTGTTGAGAGAGGGCTGTTCAATTTTGACATAGATGGCCTCTTTGACCCTCTTTCAAACCAGTGGTCCTCTCTGTCCAAAATGTAGACTTTGCTGTCTTAGAAAGAGTGGCCTTTGTCTTTTAAAAGTCCACACGCATTTGCACTACTCAGGTGACCCTGCCGACACAAATAAACCTCCAAGTGGCCTCAATGACTCTAAATAATGCAAATGACCAGCTGCCTGCATGGAGTATAAATCCTTCCATTCCCCACCATTCAGTCAGAGGTAAAGAAGCTTCTTGGATGAAAAGCAAAACGTCTTCAAACAAAAACAAGAAAGTCCCGTTGCCTCATAAAAAAGCATCTTTGGGTCAGTGGAGCAGTGTTTTTCAATCTTGGCAACTTTAAGATGTGTGGACTTCAACTCCCAGAATTCCCTATCCACCATGATCAGCTTTGGAGCTGCATGGTCACATGAACCATATCTTTTGGAGAAGTATATGTGGAAAGCATACTAAGTGAATGAAAGTATGAAATACTGAAACAAATGGATGTATATGACATAACTGAAGAAACAGAGTAAGTGGAGTTACCCAGTGTTCATCCCATGTTCACACATCCACTTCAGGCAACAGAAATTCTAGGGAGTATAATTATATTTGACTGTTCCTTCTTGGCAATTATAGTCCTTCCTTGCTTTTCTCTGACTTGTGAGAATTAATTTTCATACTACCAATAATAAAAATAAAACAAGATATGAGTAAATCTGAGCACTGCAGAAACAAGGAGCAGATGGAAACAGGTCAGTCTACTTAAAAGAGGGGGCCACTAGACCACAAGTCCTTACAAAGAACAGAAGGAAAATGAAACGCAAGAGTGTGAGAAACACACCGAGCTTCCAAGCATTTAACAGTCATTCAAGCAGCAAGCAGAAGCAGCAAGCAGCAAGCAGTTTACTGAAAAATATGTTCTTGCAAAAGCGGGGTGGCTAGCAAGTAGGCACACCCAGGCATCAA